TATATATATATATATATATATACATTCATTCTTTCTTTTTAACAAATTATATTACAAATTATATTACACATTATATAACAAATTATATAACAAATTATATAACAAATTATAAAAAAAATAATATAACAAATTATATATATAAAATATTATACAACGAATTATATATATAACAAATTATATAACGAATTATAAAAAAAATAATATAACATATTATACATATAACAAACTGTATAACAAATTATATAACAAATTAATAAATTTATACAAAAATAATAAAATAAAATAATTTCATTAAACATGTACATAAAAACAAAAAAATTAAAAAATTTAATTTATTTTTTATTTGAGTTTCTTACCCCAGCATTGGGTGTTATATAACACTATTATTTTTATATAAAAATATATTCAACGAAATAATATAATTTATTTATTTTTTTTTTGAGTTTCTTACCCCAGCATTGGATGTTATATAATATTATTATTTTTATATAAATATATATTCAGCGAAATAATATAATTAATTTATTTTTTTTTAATTGAGTTTCTTACGCGAGTGTTGGGTGTTATATAATATTATTATTGTTATATAAATATATATTCAACGAAATAATATAATTTATTTATTTTTTTTTTTTTGAGTTTCTTACGCGAGTGTTGGGTTTTACTAAGTATTATTATTTTTATATGCATTTATATTCAATGAAATTATTTATTTTTTTTTTTAATTGAGTTTCTTACGCCAATGTTGCATGTTATTTAATATTATTTTCATATAAATATATATTCAACAAAATAATTTAATTTATTTTTTTTTAATTGAGTTTCTTACGCGAGTGTGGGGTGTGGCATTTCTAGTTGTAGGCGAACATATCTGGCGATGGTTGCTTTGAGGTCGTGTATTGAGGTGTACATACAGTTGGCGTGGTTAGTATAAATTTGTGTATAATGTATTTTATCTTTACTTAATAAAATATTATATTTTAATGCAGGATACTCCCATTCTATGTCTGCTGCTCTCAGTTTATATTTATCTCCTAAATCTAAATCAAAAAAAACAAAAGAAGGAATTGAGTCTTTTGTAAACTCCTCAGATGCCCAGTAAGTATCGCTCTTGCCATCAACTGCTGCACTTGCAGCATGGTTGCTGCTGCTGCTGCTGCTGCTGCTGGTGCTGGTGCTGCTGCTGTGGGCTTCGGCGTTGCGAGCCACGTCGCTGCTGCCGGCTTTGCTGCCGAGCTGAGACAAACAGTAATCTCCTCCTCTCAGGATCTTCAGTTGGTTGTTTGGCTGCAGCTCCCTACAAACAACAACAGCAGCAGCAGCAGCAGCAGCAGCAGCAGGAGCAGCAGCAGCAGCAGCAGGAGCAGCAGCAGGAGTATTTTTTTATTGTAGAGTAGAGAAGAGTTGTAATATATTTAATGTTAATTACCATATACTTCTGCCGTCCTCATAGTTAAATTCTTTGTTGCAGTCGCCAGCCACCACCTGCCCCCCCTCCTGCACGATGTTCTCCTTCAACACTGCACATACACCCAACACTGGGTTACG